TTTCACATTACTTGTGACTATAATTTATATTTTGGGGTGTTTGGGTATTTCTTTCTCCCTTTACTACTGATATTTTGATCATAAACTACAAAGAAATGTATGGAGCGATGTTAGATGTTGAGTGTATGACGTCACAGACTCCAAAAAAAAAAAAAAAAAAAAAAAAAGAAGATAAATATATGAAAAATAATATAAAAAGATTTAAGGTTAGATGAAGAGAAGACAGAGGAAAAAAGGAAGTGTTAATACGTGGGACTCGAACCCACGTCCAACATATTTAATTAGATAATTAATTCCAAAATACAGAGAAAAGATAGTGCCTTCATGCCATACCCCGAGACATCCGCTGGGTCATCGTATGGACTTCAGACATGACGGCGATTAAGCCCCTCTGCCCTTGGGTGTACGGATTACGCAGGACTGTGTTCTAGCCGAAGCATCAGGGGAGAGACTAGCCGGCCCCCAGACCATATCTACAGCTAATCCCTTGCACAACCTGCCACGCACTGGCACATTGATTTGAAGTTGAAAATAATCTAGTCTATCTGGTACTTTGTTGTCATGGCTATTGTTGTGCTAATTTCCTGAAATCGTGGCCCAGTGGAAACAACTTGGCCTTCCAAGACACTGAGTCAAGCACGTTTGAGGGAGATTAGTACTTGGATGGGTGACSTGAAATTAATTTATAATTACCCTTTATTTTTTCTTTTTTTTTCTTTTAAGATTCTTGGATAGAAAAATTCCATGAAACTTCCTTGCACCCAAATTTAATGCTGATTTCAAATAATAATAATAATAATAATAATAATAGTTTATTATTTGTATTGCGCAATTTAACACGTTAATATGGTCAACTGCGCATTACATATAGGTACACTAAAATACTAGGAATAAGATCTCTAAAAAACTACAAAAAGAGTATATAAAAGATTTAATAACTAAGGTCCAGTTTAGACGTCGAATCCCGCACGCGCCGAATCCAATGCAGACAATCCAAACATTAGTTTGTCCATCTGCACTAGACCCGTCACGCGCGAACTTCCACGTCCAAACCGGGCCCAACACGWTAAAACAAATGGGAAACTAATTTGTAAATATTAAGTAAAAGGAAATCTAATTAAAAGCTAGTCTAAAAAGGTGGGTCTTTAACAACGTCTTGAATCTATTAAAACGTCTCTCGTTACGTATCTCTTGTGGTAAATTGTTCCATAACTTCGGAGCAGCCGCCGAWAAAAATCTGGAATGAAAAAAGGGGTGTCCCGAGGTCAGTCATTTTTGCGATATTCACGACTAAATACAGGACAAGGTAGTTTTGAAGAAAACTTT